CCATCTCAGATTACTCTATTAATTGGAGCAAGTCAATTATTCTTCCAATATCTTGTGACTTCCAGTTCAATCCTACTATCCCACTTCAATCTGGGGACATTAGATACCTGGGTATTAACATTTCTGCCAAGCTGTCAGATCTGACGCGATTAAATCACAGTCCTCTGCTTAAAAAGATAGAAGATGACCTTGCACAGTGGAATAATCTGCCCTCATCACTTTTGAGAAGAGTAGCAACAATCAAAATGATGATCTTGCCAAAAATTAACTACACGTTCTCAATGGTTCTGAGTCAACCAACCGCTGGCTTGGTTCAAATCACTGGACTCCTTAATTTCAAAATATCTATGGAAATCCAAACCACCACGAATAAGTTTAAAAACTGTGGGGGTATGGAGCTTCCTAATTTGTACAACTACTTTCTTGCCAATAGATTGATAAATGGACTATGCAAAACAAATTAGACCTTAACTGGCTGGATATCGAGCAAGCTTTCTGTAACGATATTCGAATCCAGGACCTGCCATTTATCAGTCATATACTTAAATGACATTGCTGTTCTAAGAGCATTAATATCAGCACATCGCTGACAGCCTGGTGGGAATTTCTTAAAATGAACCAAACTTCACTGGTCCCATGCAAACTGACACCCATTTGGAACAACCCTGACATCCTGCTAAATAAAAAAATGATAAACTTCCCAGCATGGCATAATAAAGGAATGCGCCTCGAAAATATAATCCAAGACAATCGCATGATCTCATTTGACAAAATAGTAGAAACTTATGGCATTGAGAAAAACAAATACTTAGAATATCTTCAACTTAAATCAATAATACATAATAGATGGTGCCGTAAGCAATTAGATATAGAGCTTTCATCTAAAGTAAGCAAACTTCCTGTCATGTCGCGTTTCAGGTGAGCAGGCAGACAGACGAGTCGAGCCGTAAATTATACAGGCAAACGGGGTTTATTAAGGGGGAAACGAGCAACACGGCACACAACATCAATGACGGATCTAGGGAAAACGGACTCAGATGCGGACTAAATACACAAGACTAGCCTAAATAACAGGACAGAGGTGATCACAATCGGGAATTCACATGAGGTAAATGAGGGGGTGTGACACACACAAGGATCGTACGAGCAGGTCATGACACTTCCTAATAACTCCAACTAAAAGACTACTATCTAGGATACACGTGCATCTAGCATAATACAATACATGATACAACACTCTCACTCCCTACACACAAATGGGAAACCCAGACACTAACTTCTTGAGGCAAATTTGCTTGAATACAGAACTCCAACCTGCAGCTAATACAGTACAAAATTTTACATAGAACACACTACACAGGGCAAAGGATGTTCCAGATGGGTATCAGAAACACTGACATATGCGTAACTTGTAAGAAGGACGCACCAGATCATTTCCTTCATGCTTTCTGGTACTGTACGCCAGTCAACAAATTCTGGCTTTGGATTTGTGAAGACTTAATGACACACCTAGGGCATCCCATCTCACTATCCCCCTCACTTTGCCTGCTTGGGGACCTCACTAACATTAATATAGACACGAATAAATCTTGCATGCTTCTCACAGTACTAATCATTGCCAAGAAAACAATCCTTCTGAACTGGAAGTCTAAAGAGAGTTTAAACATAACTAAGTTCAAAAATCTACTCTTAGACTTTCCATGGAGAGGATGTCTGCCTGTAAGAAAAATCAATTGACAGAATTTGAACATTTGATTCCAATAATAAATTTTATAATGTAATATCACCTGGGGTGGAGGGGTCTTGGGGGCTGGGGGCGGGGCAGCCTGGTGGTTGTGGTCCTCTGGTGTTCCTCTTGGCAGGGGGTCCCGTGGTTGGCCCCGTTGGCCCGGCCTGTGGGGGACAGTGCGGGGGATGGGGGGTTCTGCCCCCCCCTGGGTAAGCAGCGCTCTGGGCAGGGGATCGGGGGGTGGGGCCTCTGGGTTTTGCCTGTGGGTTTGGGCCGTGGGCTCTGTCGGCTGGGGCTGCGGCCCTGGCTCCCGGGCGGGTGGTCACCCGCATGCAGTGGGGCCTGGCCTGTCCGGGCTTGGTCCCCTGGTGGGGGCGGGTCGGTGCCTGCCGTTGGCGTTCCTGGCATCGGGCCCTCGGGCACTGTGGGGTGGTTGGGGGGGGGTATTGTTGGAGGGGCCTACGCCTTGCTTGGGGGTGGGGGCCTGGGGTGGCCGGGGTCACCCTGCCTGGCCAGACCGGCTCTCCATTTGGGTCTGGGGTTGTCCCGTCCTTGGCTGCTAGCTGGGGTCCCATCAGAAGTGGTGGGGTGGGACTCTTCCGGTCTGCGCCTGGGGGGGGTCCCCCTGGCGCAGGTTGGCCGCCCCTGCCAGCTGTGCGGGGCCGGGGATGTGGTCTAATCGGGGCCAGTTGGGGATCTGGCCCTGGTGCAGGGGGGTGGGGGGGGGACACTCCTGGCAGGCCCTTGGCCCACCACCATATTTCACACAACAGTTTTGTCATCGGCGCACCTCCCCACTGCCCCTCAATTTTTACTTGCATATTAGACACCACATGACAAAACTGTTGTGTGAAATATGGGCGGAGTGGTCATATGAGGACACATTGGAATCTATCTTTACACTGTAACTTTAATTTACAGCCGGCAGATAAAAAAAAAGAAGTGGAGTATGTACCCAGCTTTAAATTTCTTGGAGTCTTGGCGCACCTCCCCACTGCCCCTCAATTTTTACTTGCATATTAGACACCACATGACACTAGGGCTGAGGAGGTGGTTTGAGGCAGGTGGTGCTCTGTCGTCTGCCAGCGGTGGGGTGCACGTGCCTCAACTGCTTGCCCGTTTTTTGCACTTTAGTCATATACACAGTCCATACTACATTAGGGCCTTGGGGTGCGGGGGAGGGGGATGGGGAACTCCGCTGTCTGCTAGTGGTGGGGCCCTCATACCCGAACTGCACCCACTAATTTTAATGCATTGTAGACATAAACACACAACTCTCTCACACATATATACATACACACTTTACACTAACATGGGATGGGGAAGTGATGGGGGCTGAGGGGCCTCCCCTAACTCTCTGTCTCTGGCCCTGCGCGGGCGGGGGGCCCACTGTGAGGAGGATCCATCATGCGGGGGATGCAGGCAGCCCTGGCTGGTGTGGGCAGCCTCCTCTCGTGGGCTGCGGGCCGGATGGTCCTGGGTTCTACTGTGCCGTGGTGGGGCCCTGGTGGGCGGTCCAGGGAATCCTGGGATGCCCCAGGCCCTTCTAAGTGAATTGGGGGGTTGGGTTTGGGCCGGGCAGGGGGTCTGCTGCTCTCCGGTGGTGTATCCTGCATTCCCCTACACTTTGTTTTCTCCATCCCAACTTTATTATTATTTTTTATTTTTTTCTCCCCCCATGGTGATTAATGTCTGTTATTGTTATGATTGTTGTTTCTGTATCCTCCCCCCCCTTTTTATTTTTTTTCCTCCATTTTTATTTATTTATTTATTTACTTTGTATGATCACTTTACTAGGGCGGGTGAGTTCGGAGTGGTCACATTGGAATCTATCTTTACACTGTAACTTTAATTTACAGTGGGCAGATAAAAAAAAAGAAGTGGAGTGTGTACCCAGCTTTAAATTTCTTGGAGTATACAACAGCGAGAACAATTCCTGGATGAATAATACATACTTCCTTGTGAAAAAAGCAGCACGACAAGTCCATTTCTTGCGGCATGCATGCCTCTCTCCCAGAATCCTCTCTATCTTGTACTGCTCTACTATTGAATGCATCCTAACAAGCTGCATCTCAGTGTGGTATGGTAATTGCACATCTGCTGACTAGAAGGCTCTGCAGCGGTTCATCAAGTCGGCCCAGCTCCCTGCAATAAAAGACATCCATCACAAACAGTGCCTTCGTAAAAGTCTCAGCATCAGCAGCCACCCCCACCACAGTCTGTTCTCCTTCCTGCCCTCTGGGAGGCGCTTCAGGAGTCTTGGTGCCCGTACTTCCAGGCTCAGCAACATCTTCTTCCCTCAAGCTGTTAACCTCTTGAATCGTCTACCTGCTGAACGTTGAACTCCTCTCATTCACCACACTTACACCCCCCTCCCCCAAACTGATCCCTAATTTGCCATTTGCACAATTTTATCTCTGCCTTATATGTACTATGTTTACCTTGCACTGTTCAGCGCTACTTCAGTACCTCAGTTAAACATTACCACATCTATGGAGACATGCTGATATGTATATCTGTATGTATATGTTAATATGCATATCTGTATCTAGCCTATATGTTTAACTTATGCATGTCTGGATAATGTATAATGGTGGTAATGTATGTGTAATTTATGTATGAATAATTTACATGTGATGTATGTCTATTTTATGTATGTATGTATAATTTATGTAAAATGTATGTAATGTAAGTCCTACTGTATCTATGTATATTCCCTCCCTTCACCTCCCCTGTCCCACGATGTCTCATATGTTCTGGTGAAGCTGCCCACACATTGTGTTAATGACAATAAAAATTTAATCGAATTAATTTGAATTGAATTGAATATCCATTTTCTGACAGACAGGTTATTTCTTTAGGTTCAGTTTTGCAGGCATTGGACAATGGTGGAAAAGTAGAAAAGATTAGATGAGATTCATAGTTATCCAGTGAATCAATGCCCTCCACAGATGCTGTATTCTCATTTTTTCACAGAGTTCCTGGACTCACTATCTCTAACAGGGTTATCACTATTTGCGGCAAATGAGTCTGGTAATCTGAAAGGACTTTTGAAATAGAGCCACTGCTCCTTTGAATCTAAAGGAGCCAGCTTATTAGATATAATGAGTAAACTTTGTAATTGAACTTACAGGAGTGTGGTGCCAATTGGGAGAATTGGTTTTCTATTACTGTTGTGCTATTAATGATTGATATATCTTAATATTTCTTACTGGTAACTTATCAAATGAACTTTGATATGTATTGTTATTAGGTAATCATATAGATACACAAACATTAACAAAGGAGTATAAATCTATTCATTCTGGTCTACATGTTGCACTGTGTGGAGTATTTCCAGGTAAATATGTTCTGCCAAATGTAAAATGTTGAAATAAATATTCATTATATCAACTTTCTTTTTGCAGTATTTGTGAAAAATACTAAGCATATTGTAACAAAAAATTATTCTGGAAACAAAATGTTATATACATATATATATAACATTTTGTTTCCAGAATTATATATATATATAGTGAGGTGTGAAAACAATTTGTACATTTGATTTGTGTGATAATCTAAGGTAATCTAAAATCATATTCTTAGGTATTGTTGGACTTCAATGCTGGAAAAATGGTCCGATTTATTGTACTGGCAGGTAAGTACTAATGAGAGATATGTTTCATTGTATTACACAGGTGTGATAGACAAAAAATTGTTTTTGTTTTATTTTTCTAGGTCTAGGCATTCTTTTTGTGCTGCCTATAGGTAAGCATGGAAAATACCTTGTAAAACTAAACATATATATATATATATACATACATATATATATACATACATCTATATATACATACATATATATATATATATATATATACACACACACACACACAGATATATATAAAAAAATAACAAAAAATACTTAATACTTGAGATTCACATTCCAGGTCATTTTAGTTAGGATAATTTTAAATAGGATTTTAAGTTTTTGGATAAATTCATCTACAATTGAATTACACACAAATAATGTAACTGTTATGTTTATGTTCTGAGGTTATCTATCCAATTAATTTACCTTTTTTAAAATGTCTGTTGTTTATATTTAAGGTCTATTTAACTAAAGTCAGATTTTTCCTTAGTTGCATCGACCAAATTGGTTTGCTATTTAACAAATTGGTCACAGTATAGACCAGGAAGTGGAAAATTCACACCAGATGATGTGGACCCTTTCCTCTGCACCCATGTCATCTATGCTCTTGCCACCATTGGCAATGACAACCAGATTAAAACTATTGAATGGAATGATGAGACACTGTACAAGTCCTTGAATCAGCAGAAGAATCTGTACGTATCATGAGTTGAAAAATGAAAAATTTTATATGCATTAAAATTAAGACTTATTTTTGATTATACTACGCATTAACCCATTTTGCTTTAAATTAATCTTTTAGTTATCATTTCTTATTCCACATAGAAATCCTAATTTGAAAACACTGCTGTCAGTTGGAGGCTGGGTGAATGGAATAAGTCCGTAAGTTGTTGTGGCTATTAATTGCTATATATATCTATAGATTATACATACACATTTGACACTTATTATAACTGACCTTCCCTAGATTCATAAGCATGGTCTCCAAGCCTGAGAACCGTCATACCTTCATTGAGTCAAGTGTCAATTTCCTACGGACACATGGCTTTGATGGGCTTGATCTGGACTGGCAATTCCCAGGACAGGGGGGAAGCCCCCCTGAGGATAAGCTGAAATTCACAGCCTTGGTGATGGTAAGCTATCATGCCTAACTTTTGTGCTATCAGCTAGCCCTTTGAAGTAATTATTTTATATCCATCTCTGCATGATGAATAAAAGAAGCATTTACTAACACCTCTTTTTTCATGCATTGCCTGCAGGAGCTCAAAAATGCATTTGACAATGAGAGCAGAGAGAATAAATTGCCCAGGCTCCTGCTATCCGCCAAAGTAGCATCTATATCTTCCACCATTGAACATGGATATGAGATATCCAATATATCAAGGTAAGAAATAACATCCATCTTGAATTACCATCTCGGTACTTCAATGACAAACATGGAGAAAATGTCAATTTAAATGAAACCAAATCCAATAATATTCAAAGAGCTTCATCAAAACCCTGAAGTATGATATACAGGCATTGAAAAAAATCAAGAGACCACTCTATTTTTAATCCTGGTTTAATCGTAGTTCTGCCGACAGAAGGCAGTCATCCATTATTTAATTCAGGGTCACTGGGGCAAATGTGTGGTTTTTTGTGATTGTTTAAAAAGATAACTGTCAAACAACAATAATTAAAAAATAACACAAATGTTGTGTAAACTAGCCAAGGACCTGTATTGGTACTGTTACTGCTCGTGTAAATTAATTTAAATTGCTTCAGTTCGTATACAGTAAATATGGCAAAGCTTTCCATTTTACATATATTGATCTTATGTTTGTAAGATGTCTGCTAAGCAAATCTATGTGAAAATTGTTTTAGCCTCTTGAATTTTCCTATCTACAACTACAACATAATTTTCATCGCTCTATATCAATGCAGCCAGCTAGACTTCATCAGTGTCATGACTTATGACTTTCATGGACATTGGGAAAAAGTCACTGGACACAACAGTCCTCTCTACCGCAGCACAGATGATCAAGGAAACTACATTGACTATAACATTGTAAGAAAAAGTATACATCGGATCCAATTAAATCATGAGAGAGCAAACAAAGCATTTATGTCATAAAAATGAAATTCTACCAATAATTTACCATAGGACAATTAAATATGCACACACTCTGTTGTAGGACTCAGCTCTTACTTACTGGATTGAACATGGAGCTCCACCTGAGAAGCTCCTTATGGGTTTCCCAACTTTTGGTCGGACCTTCCATCTGACCTCTTCCATGGCTTCCATTGGTGCTCCATCTAATGGCCCAGCTTCTGCAGGACCCTACACCCGTGATGCAGGTTTTTGGTCATACTATGAGGTAATCATGGCATAACCTTCAGGTAAATAAAATAGCTTTACAATGAACAATAATTAACAAATGATTTTTTTTTAGCCTGAGTATGATGCTTTTATATAATTAGAAATTATTTTCAGTAGGTGGAACAGTGGCCTCACAACTCTAGGGTTAAAGGTTAGAATCCCAGTTCTTCTACCTGTCTATTGAGTTAATCTGTTTTCCCTGTATAGGCCTGATATACACTGCAGACTTTCCATGACCCTGATCAGGATAAGCGGTTGGAAGATGGATGCATTACACTTTTATTTATATTTTTTGTATATTTGTCTTCTTTTTAGGTGTGCTCGTTCCTGAAAGCTGCCAAAGTTCATTGGATTGAAGACCAGAAAGTACCCTATGCTGTGCAAAGTGACTCCTGGGTGGGGTATGATAACCAGGAAAGCTTTTCAAATAAGGTTTGAATTAAGATAACTTTGTTCTAATGATATAATATGTAGCTGCATTTTGGCCAGTGCTGACTGATCTACTTTTCCTCATAGGTCCTGTGGTTAAGGGAACACAACCTTGGCGGGGCTTTTGTCTGGAGTCTGGACATGGATGACTTTCATGGAGAATTTTGTGCTGAAATGCAGTATCCTCTTGTCAACCACCTTCGTAACTCTCTAGGTAAACAGCAAAAAGTGAATTTTTTTCTTAATGCTTGTCTCCCAAGTAACTTACAGAATAGGGTTTCTTACCCTTTTATAAATTTTATTTATAAATCAGTTGCAAAGGTTAAAAGAGTGGCTTTTTTTCTTGGATCTTAACCTGTGACATTTAGGGACCAGTTTCTTAATTATGAATCCCCCAAAGTCTGCATGTTTCCCTTGTGTTTTATTTTGTGTTCTCTAGATATTTCCTACATATTCCAAAGATGTATCTTTGACAGTTTGTGACTGTTCTGTGGTGGATTGATGTATGGTCCTAGTTGCATCACCACCTTGTGATTTATTTTGTCTTGGCTTGAAAATAGATGGAGAAATGGATTTGTAGTCATGTAAACATGTGTTCTTTTTTCGCAGGATTTGCACCAAAGCCAACTACACCTCCTCGTCCCACAACCACCAGAGATCCAATTTCTTCATTCTGCACTGGAAAGCTCGATGGGTTGTATCCTAATCCTGCTGATCAGACAACCTTTTTCCAGTGCTTCCTTGGGAACACCTACCTTCACCAATGTCAGCCTGGCCTAGTCTATGTGGATGACTGCAAGTGCTGTAGTTTTCTCTGAGTGAGAGATTACTTCCGTTTCAATACGTATCAGTTATTGTCAGTAAATAACCAAAATATATTTTTAGCTTTGCTGATTTAACACACTAGAACATCTTTTTAAAGAAACGTCACAGTACAACTGTAATATCATTATTTTCTGCTATGTACGATGATTACAGAAAATAACAAGTAGTAGGTGCCATTTGTGGTTCTAATTCTATAAGTAAAGTAATAAAAAACATTAAAATAACATGAAAATGTGGTTGTTTTTTATTTAAATGTGATTTTACAAATCTAACATATAAATACATTATGCAATGATTAATGCACAACAACCCCTGCATAAAACACAGTATAGACAAAACTATTGGGACACACCTATCAATCATTGAATTCAGGTGTTTCATTCAGACCCATTGCCACAGGTGTATAAAATCAAGCACCTATCCATGCAGTCAGACTTTGTGAAGTCCATTTGTGAAACTTCTTCCCTGCTAGATATTTCATGGTCAACTGGTTTTAGTCAACTGGCATTATTGCAAAATGGAAGTTTTAGGAACAACACAAATTAGCCATGAAGTATGTAAAAGTCACCAACACCCTCTTGACTGAATAACTGCAGAGTTCCAAACATCCTCTGGCATTAACTCCAGCACAAAAACTGTGCTCATCTCGACCCCCCAGCTAATACGTACCACTGATTGGCTGATGATTTGTAACCCAAAAAGTACAGAGTAGAGAGAGGTTTTCTCTGCCAATCATTCTAGACATTTGATTGGCTAATCTGGTTAAAAGTCTTTGGGATTTTTCCACATTTGAAAGTTGCGACAACTGATGGTGTCACGGACCAACCCCAGGATCCCCTAGTGATATCAGAAGGACCACGCCCCTGGGGAGACTCAGACGAGGATTACCTTCCTGAGAAATGGAAACTGCCCGGTTTACGTGCTTCACAACCGGCTTGTCTGGTTTTCCCAGTTCTTGGGCAGTCTGACCTCTCAGCTGATTTCTAGCAGTTTAATCAGTGGAGCCTATTTCAGTTTACCTGATCTGAAACTCTGACGCGAGATCTTCATGGTCGGTCCATTTATTCCTGTCTGTCTGCCTGGTTACCTGCACCCTGTTTTTGCCCCCAGACCCCGAGACTTGCCTGCCCCCTCTGATATCCGACGCTCATCGCCCAACTCCTGCCTGTCCATGAACAACCGCATACCTACCTAAGCCCTCTGATCTCCAACACACATCGCCTGTTTTTGACTGTGTTTTCTGTCTGTCGCCTTGGATGTAGCAACGAGAGTTATTTTTCGCTCTTGCAGCAATCCCTGAGAGTTTTTACATCTCCAATAAAGCCGCTCCTCCCTCCTGATTCCGCGCAAGTGTCCTTTCTTCTCCGCATCCTTAACAGATAAGTATGTTGTTTAATACGGGACTGACTGAGTTCTCCACAACACTTTCCCGTATCGCTGAGTCCCTATTTGTTTCTCCCCCAGCAAGCAAACCACAACTTTCCCCGCTGGGGTAATACAACGGGGATCCGGGATCCTGCAGATCATTTCTTTCCCAGCAGGGACAAGAGGCTGCTCAGTAGTTATTATAGCTCCGACAGGAGGGCCAGTCCGTATCTGAGTATGCCATCCAGTTTTGTACTTTGGCTATGTGAAGCGGATGGGACCATCAAGCTCAGTTTGCTGCTTTTTACAATGGACTGGGTGAGGGCAAAAAGGATGAACTAACCACATGCGAAATCCCTGACTCATTTGACGAGCTAGTCAGCTTGGCGATTAGGGTTGATACAAAGATTTACTAGTGCCGGAGATGCGTAAGGGAGGAACACAAGAATTTCTTCCTGTTAACCCCACAGAGTCCACACCTGAGCAGATGCAGGCAGATAATGGCTAGGACCTGTCTGTATTGTGGCCAAGTCAGACATTTCATTTCCATGTGTCCAGTAAAAGGTTGCACCCACCAGTGAGGAGCAGGGTACTGGTGGGTGTAGCTCCAGCATATCCCTCCTCGGCTCATCGCAACTGTCTACAGGCAACTGTTTCGTGGGGGTCCAACACACAAGCTCTGGTGGCTGACAAGAGTTTTATTGACACTACACTCGTCCGCCAGTGGGGAAGTCCCACGACCCAGGCACAGACGCCTGTAGGAATTATTAGCTCAGGTAAATTTTAATATCTCCACTAATATGTTTTGAAATTAATAAAATTTTAATAAATTATTATTTAATGCTGATTATTAAGCAATTGTCGAATGGTCAGCTCCTCCAAACTCAATTATGTTAATGTAAGACTTACGTGGGATTCACTAATTACCAGTATCGCTTAGTAACCTGGGTTAGAAGGCTCGTCTAGCCAGCTGCATCACCAGGTAATGTAAACGATTGGTAGCAAAGCACCCCTCACGGCCGATGAGAGAGAGTCTCATGATATTTCAGGCGAGTTTGAGGTTTCAGAGCTTGTAGCCAGATCGCACAGAGGCAGGGACTATTGTGAACACTCAATGAACGGAGGCTGAAGTTGTGTAAAAGACATGCATTTATTCCTGACTAACACTACAACTAACATAAGACAGACATTACACTTAACACAAACAACAAACATGAAATAATGGAATAGAAACAAACAATGTAATTACGGAAATGCAATGACCGGATTTAAATGAGTAACCTTAAAAGGGAAATACTGTTCTGCAAAGCAAGTCCAGTTTGTGGAAATATGACCCTAAAGTCATATAGCAGGTTAACAGAACAGCTTAGGTTGTTAGAATGAAAGGCAGTTGGTTTACTTGGTTACAGAGTGGGGGGGGGGTCTTGGCAGTTGGTTGCATAGGCTGATGAGCTGACGGGATGAAGGCACTCAGGAAGGTGCGGCGTTTGGAGCAGTGGAGTGGAGCCCCTTGGATTCTCTCTCCTTGTGAAGCTTTATCTTGGTTGCAGTTCTCTGTCCAGCTGGGCCTTCATCGGCAAGCTTCAGGAGGGCTTCTTGCGGGCTTCTCTTCTCATGGGCTGATGTTCTCTGCCTCTTTGGTTTTGTTTGTTTGTTTTTCTGCTACTCCCCCCTAGTTCTGAGGTGCCAGGTTTTATGGTCTAAAGTTCATGAATAGGGATGACCAGTAATTCGACTCCTGGACCAATGACTGACCATCCATTTGGCGGGCTTTCGGAAGGGGGTCTATCAGTCCTTTTGGGATTTATGACCAGACTGATTCCCCCTTTACTGATGATTTTCATTAAGCTGGTGTAACTTTTGATACGTCCACTTTCATGGTAACCACTGACTTGGAATTGGAATCAGGAGTGATTGTCCATCAGTTTGACACCAAACATGCCATACCAGCTTCACAGGTTCACACCTCATATCATCTGTATTACTTAATTAACAATTACTTATATTATGTATGTTACTGACTCACAACAGTATATGATACAGGTGTTTTGGGTTGCACCTCAACAGATTTTACAATTTGTACAGACATTACATCACATATTCACATTCAAACAGCACATCTTACCCTTAGATAGACATGGCCGTTAGTTTGTGGTAATACCAATTTAAATTGCACATCTGGGAACAACATATTTTGTTCAGTGTGGCTTATCCCAATTGATCTTCTCCAGAATGGATAATGTACACCTTAATTCTTTTTTTTTTCTTTATTGCCCACCACCACCCCCCCTCTTCGGAGGACAACTTTATTTTACATTAAATTAAAGAGTAAAGAGTGTGGCCGCTCTGAACTCACCCGTCCTAGTACCGTGATTATAAAATAAATTTAAAAAATGGCGGGGGGACAGAAACAATCGTAACAATAACAGACATTAACAATAACAGACATTAATCACCATGGGGAGAGGGGGAGAGAAGAAAAAAGGAAAAAAGAAAACAAAGGTATACAGAAATAATAATAATAATAATAATAATAATAATAATAATAATGAAGGTGGGATGGAGAAAATTAAGTGTAGGGGAATACAGAATACAAACAACCATAAGAAACATAACACTTATTACAAGGACATCAAACAACAAAAATTATAACAACAACAATATCAATACCTCCCAAGAGCAACTTCTGTTGCGTTCGGCAATGGAGGCGAGCAGGGAAGCAGGCGAATCAGCCAGGACGTCAGGTAACGAGGATTTATTAGACTTAGAAGGCTGACACTCACAAACAAGGTAACAATACAATGACGGATCTGGGGAAGACGGACTGAGACTCGGACTAAATACAAAAGACAAGCTAGACATAACAGGACACAGGTGATCACAATCAGGGCTGAACACGAGGTAACGAGGTGGGCGTGGCACACATCAGGAGCGGACGGAGCGGGGTGTGACAACTTCGATTTCGCTTTGTTTTTAGTTCATACTTGGTTCAGGCAGAAGTTCTTCTGGTAAGTAGTAGTAAATTTATCAGGTTTAAAATTTTAAATAAAAATAATAATTAAGTTCAGTTTTAACACAAGTAATACAGTAACTTATTTTAGTGTACTCGGCACTTTACTGCATTTATCGTTACGCAGATTAATCTTTATAGTTAAATACACTATATAAATTTACTGGGCTGGGAGTACGGGGTCATAGTGATTATGGGGCCGGCTCAGTGTTGCGTTTGCAAGATGTTTGCCCTTCTGGACGTTAGTGTCCAGTCGGACTTCATCTGCGAGCGATGTAAGCTAGTGGACTCACTCATGGTCAAGGTTCGCGACCTTGAGGAGCAACTGGCTCGCATCCAATGCAACAGTGAGTTAGATGAGCTAGTTGATACGCCGTTTAGGGAGATGGTGTGTACGCCACTAGCGGGGGGGAGGGAGAATGAAGAGCAGAGAGGTCGAGAGAGCTGGGTGACCGTAGGTCATAGACGCAGGAAAAGGCGTACACATGTTACAGAGGCGGCATCACCTGAGGTGGCTGTGTCTAACAGGTTTCAGGTGCTTCCAGCTTTAGAGCCGGAAGGGACTGGGGAGGCAGGTAGGCCCTTGGGCACTGAGGAGCCCCCTCGCCCCAGGAAGAGGGAGGTTGTGGTAGTGGGGGATTCAATTATTAGGGGAGTAGACAGTTATGTGTGCACGCGTGATAGAGGGTCCCGTACGGTGTCTTGCCTGCCTGGTGCCCAGGTAGGAGACCTTCTAGATCGTGTGGACAAGCTTTTTGCATGTTGGCACCAATGACATAGGCAAGGGTAGGAGGGCTGTTCTGCAGGATAAATTTATAGAAGTCGCCAATAAGCTTAGAAGCAGAACGTCCATGGTG